ACCCACTACAGTCCTACAGGAGGTGAATCGCGAGCCCGAATAGCTGGCTCAGTGGTAACGTCTCTGACTGCAGCACTCACTGGGTGACGCGGGTTCGAATCTCAGAAGGAGGGAGGACATGAGTTCCTTCAGGGTGGTCGCAGATACGCCTTACTGACTGACTGGTGAATGCCAACTAGCACGAAACCTAGGTCCAGACAGATCTTCCTGTGGCCGATTGCCTCCAACTATCTAGCATCATGAACAATAGGTTCTTCGTTGGTTTCTTCCCATAGTTTCTTCTCTGACCAGCTGGCCATCTGATCTTCAATATGCAACCAGAGAAGAAACCTGTTAGAAATGTTTGTGGTAACGCACTACTAGCCAAGTTTCTGACCCATATGGAAGAAGAACTCTGACTGACTTGACATTGGTGTTGAAAATTCAAATTTTGTTGTTTATGTTGAAGCGGAGCGGAGTGCAGAAGATGAAGGTGTGTGCGTGTGTGCCTTGCATTTCCGATTCTGGTCTGGAGATTATCACCCGCCTTGTCGCCTGTAGGCGAAATAATGCTGCCTGGTGGTGGTCAGAGAGAGGTGAAGAAAGGTTACCTCTTTCAAATTTCTTCCTTTGAATTAGTGGTGATAGCTGGCCATCTGATCTTCGACGTAGGGATGGGGCACAGAGAAGGCAGTTGTTGGGGAAGAAGTGAGTGATTTGAGAGTAGTGTTAAAAATCCAAATTTTGTTGTTTATGTTGAGGAGGAGTGCAGAAGATTTTCAAGTGATGAAGTGATAATGTCCACTCCGTCCTCCTTTATAGCTATGAGTGAGACATCGCCATTGAAAGTGGAAGACATGAAAAGACTGGCTAGCTGTCCTTGATCATAGGTGCCTGCGTTCTGTCTCCCGTGTAAAGTGGTATAATAGGGTGAGCAATATTGAGGTGAGGCTTTGGTCGAGTGCTGGATAAGGAGGGGAAATCAATCGACGTGGCTGTGAAGCTACATCGATTGAGATGGTTAGGACATGTGTTACGCATGCCTAGTCATCTTCTTCCTCGACGGTGGGCAATGCTAGCTGACAGAGGATGGATTAGTTTGGAAAACAACTAGCTAGTGGTGGTCAAACTGAAACATGGCTTCATCACTGAATGAAATCCAAAACAGTTAGTTTAAGCCGACCAGTACCGTAGGAAGGTGTAGACATCCTAACTGGTTGATGTCCTAGGGATGGTAAACACCAATGAAGGCTGGAGACAATTGATGATATGGATGGCTCAGATGCATCCACTCCTTGTGACTTATAATTTCCAATGAAACTATGTTGTTCTTCGATATTACTATTCTTTTTGCCTCATATCTCCGTTTACTGTCTCTGTTTTGCATTTACTTTTACTTTCTTCTCTTGCTTTGTGTGCTACGTGGAGTGAAGTGTGGCGACTCAAACTGCTGCACATTGGTGCAAAACCAGTCAGTCAGTCAATAAAGTAATGGATGTCTTTCTTCCCTTTCCGATTCTCGTTTCGACATCGTCATTCATTCCAACTGCCTTCAGTTGAAACGATGCTTTCTAACCGGATAAGTGAAGGAAAGGTTGCCTCTTTCAAATTTCTTCCTTTGATAGTGGTGATTGGTGTATATATAAAGTTTATACCTTTGTTGAATATCCCTTTTTTATTTTCTATCTGTTACTTTTATAGTTCTATGTATATGCCGAGAGAAAACAAATAGTGACTATATGTGTTAACATTACAAAAAAGTTTAAAAAATAATAAGAAGAATTGATAATCAAATCAATTACCGACCATATGATGAAAAAAAATACATAAAGAAGGGAATCAAAGGGTATTTCAAAGTATCGCTTTGATATTTTTGCATAATGCTGTTTTTTTTTCATACATCATCAATCATTCTAACAACCATTACTTTTTCTCAACAAACTCTTTTATCATTATTATTATTATTATTTTGAGTTAGCTCTAACTCTGACTACTTCTGATGATGTTGATAATAACTACAGCGTTCTTACCTTGTGTGTTTTTGTGTATGTGCGTGTGCGTATGTGTATAAGTGTGTACGGAGAGGGGGAAGAGCAGATACTCTCTCTTCTCTACTTGTTATCATTCTCATGATAAATTGAATTATTCCCATTATGGTTCATTCACTTTGCGCTACATTGATGGTTATCTATTTATTTATTTATTTGTTTATTTGTATTTTTTTCTCCATATTGTGAGATAGGGGAGCGCGGTAAATAAGTGTGAAACGCAATTTCTCCACTCTCTCTTTCTCTGTGCGTCTCTTATTGTTTACTTGTTTTCTATTGTTGTTGATCTTTATGTGAGTTTGTTTTCCATACCATACACAACTGGTTGGTTCCCTTTGATTAGTTTTGAACAAAGAATGAATGACTATATATTTGTAGTTTGGATAATACAAGCTTAGGTGTGTTTCTTTTTTTGAAAAATTTTGTGGTGGATTCTCTTTTCAACTGCGTACATCTGTTATGTTTTGCAATATGTCCCACTCGTCGCTTTCCTTTCGGGTTCCACTCAAGAGCGATGGCCTGACGCGCGATGTCGCCCAGCGGCCTCCTCAGCGAGTGTCCAATCCATCTCCACTTTCTCCTGCATATTTGTTGGACGATTGTTTCTTGTTTTGTTTGTTCCCATAGTTTCTTGTTGGTGATTCTTTCCAGCCGGCCATCTGATCTTCAGTATAGAGCGACGAAGACAGTTGTTGATAAAAGTCTGCAACAGGCTGTTGGAAATGTTCTTTGTGACCCACCAAGTTTCTGATCCGTATAGAAGAACTGACTTGACGTTTGTATTGAAAATCCGAATTTTGTTGTTGATGCAGGCTGAGTGACGAAGATTTCCAGATTGGTTTCAGGTTGATGAATATGTTTCTCGCCTTCCCGATTCTCGATTTGACACCCTCGTCTTCTGTTCCTCCTGTAGTTGAGACAATGCTCCCTACCTAGATAAGTGAATGAAATAACCTCTTTCACCTGGAGTCCTGTCTTTGCTGCTTCTTCGACCATTTTTCGCTTGTAAGTCGTTTCCCACTGTCTGACGCATAATCCAGTCCACCACAATTAGGAATATCATTGGTGATAGGAAAGACAATATTGGACACAAATGCACTGATTACGAGTATCACTTGACCACGCCAACAACATCATTATTCGTCAGCTACCTGTTTCTCCAGCCCGCACTACTTAAACGGGGACACATAACGATCGTGAGCCGCAAAGTATATTTCACGCATTCATGTAAGATTCAAAATATCCCTTAGAATCTGTCAATTCGTTTGTATTGATGATCAACAAAAAACAGTTGGAGTTATTTTACGTAGGCCAATTCTGATTGGTTTATTTCCAGACTGGGTATCGATCAGATATGTGGGCCAAATTCTGATTGGTTTATTTCCAGACTTGGATATCGACCACTATATCAACATCTTAAAGAAAATCATCAAATTATAAGTTATAAAATTATTTTGAACATACAGTTTTTTTTCACAGTTGAGCTCATATTTCTCTTGGGAACAAGGATTACCTAGAGAAAAGAAAATACAAAATTGGACAAATTATACATATTATCACGGAGAGTTCACGAGGATGGGAGTAATTAGTGAAGTAAAACTATCACTGAATTAAGTGCATTTGGAAACGTGATGTTTAGTTCAACTCAGTGATAGTGAAAATCAAAATTAAATGGAATGTTACGCAAAAGAACAAAACACCTACGGTTACCAGGGTAGTGAAAGATTAGTCATGCTATCATTCTGATTACGGAGGTTGTGTCAAAGTCTTTTGATAGCAATGGCTTCTTTGAAGTAGAAGCAGATATGGTTTTCTTTGTGTATTGATTATTTTGCACTCTATGTTCCTTGTCAATTAGGTGTCTGGAAACTCCATTTGAGAACAGTTTGCTGCCCTTCATATGGATACTTTTAGGGATATACTCAGAAAATCTAGCAGACACTCTCTTCTCTCAGTGTAGTATTATTTACTTGTTGCCTCAAGTGTAGGTGAATTGGTAAATGTAGTGTTTTGAGGTGCAATGAGTTTTGTGGTGGAAAATGTTCTCTTCAATGCATCCTTAATTCTTTGTTTTCAGTTTTTGTTGATACTTCTTACCATTTGTACGGTAGACAGATAAAAAAAACTTTTCCCCCAACCATTTCACTTTTTGATCTAGGTGTTTTTTCACTCCCATATTTTGATATATACCTTCAGAGATATCTATTCTCGATAAGATCTTTTTCCTCTTCAATTTTATCTTCTGCATATACCGCCCTAGTTCTACTCAAAAAAGCGTCTTTACTAGGCTTCTTTTGTAGCCAGTTGATCAAAAGCTGTGATAATTTAAGCATTGAGCAATTCAAGAGTTTTTCTTTTTTGCCTATAGACGAACTTTTCATCGTGGTGGCTTTTGTTTGATTTATGTTGTTACTGCAGAGAGTGGTATCTCTCTCTGTCTATTCATCTATAAAATCGATTTATTCTTTTTTCTACTTTTTGCCCGACATAAAGATGAAATTTACTTTTCAAAAGAGTTAGTCCGTTTTGATCACGTATTGATATCAGTTAGAGAACCATTGATAACCTGGGAGTATTGGACAGTTGTACTCCCAGGTTTCCAATGGTTCTCTAACTGATATCAATTCATTGGCAAAACTGAAACAGATCAAGTCCGCTGACAACAAGACTTGCAAGTTGTTTGTAGTTCTAATGAGAAGTCACGACCAGTGGGAACTGTGTGGTCTGGAGTAGGGACATATCCTCGCCTCCAATGACGCTGGCTACTACCAGTCGCGGTGAGTAGCAGTTGGAATTCACGGAAGGATTGAATTCCGGCCCAAGTTGTGGGTACGTACTGATGATGACGAGTCCTAAACTGGGACGAAACAAATACTTATTTTTGTTTGTTTACATGCCTGTCTTACTTGTCATCTTTTTCTCTCTCATTCCGTCCTTCTTTTTCCCTTCCACTCTTTGTATTTCTCATTGTAGACAGCGTGTAAATTAAGCATTGGTCATCTGTTCCATTTAATCTCGCTAGATGAAGATTCAATCGCTGTGACAAGTTATCGGTGAGTTGTTGATGATAACCTTCATAATATAAAATGCTACTTTTTATCAGTTTTCGTATGTTCTCTTATATATCTTGTTGTTCTTACGATTGTAATAATAATAATAATAATAATAATAATAAAAGTGTAACGGCAGTAGAGGTAAGAAGCTTGGTAACGGATCTTTATTAAGCAAAAAACACGTCATATTAAAGTTAATCTAGATCAGAGGGCAGAATAGATTATTCTGATTGGTCAGCAATTTGGCCCAAGGTTAAACAAGTGTGTCTGTCCAATGAGGTTGTTCCTTATCCGCGACGTAAATTAAATCGAGATTTTGAGGAATATGAACACTTTTATTTCTGCAGCCATAATAAAAATATAATAGCAATGATATTTGTTGTTTTTTGTAAATATTGTCCAGAAAATCGAATTGTGTATTTCCTGATCTTTCTTGGATCATGTATTTTAATTGTTTATTTTATAGATAATGGTGAATTGGTTAGTTGTTTTATAGGTTGTTCCAAAGTTAGGTCACTAACTGACATTGATTAGAGAGCCATTGAAGATTAGGGTTTACTGGACAGCTATTTCGTCCTAGTTTTTCTTTTGACTCTTCAGTAACACAAAAATTGGAAGACTTCAGAATTCGTGGGCCATTGAATAACTGTCTCAGGAGTTGAATGGTCATTGGGCTTGCCTCATAAACTGAAGGTATGAGGCGTCATGAAAAGGATCTCTAACAGCCACCGCAGACGTTTATCAACAGCTGCCTTCGCTGGCTCCATACTGAAGATCAGATGGCCGGAAAGAAACTCTGCAGTGCAGCGAACCAGCCAAGAGCCGATTGCTCAACAAATATGTGGGAGAAAATGGAGATGGATCGGGCATAGTCTGAAGAGGCCTTCGAATGACATCGCGCTCACTGCAGGCTATAGCTCGAGTGGAATCTGAATGGGAAGCAATGAGTGGGTGGTCGATTCTAGGGTGACATGAAGGAGATCGGATGACGAGAAGGACATGAGAGGTTATGGTCAATAGTGGGGCTATCCAGCCGGAGAGAACGGAAGAAAATAGAACAAGATGGAGATGTGTTGCTGAAGCCCTATGTTCCACTGGGAATCCAAGGGAATAATAATAATGGGGTTTGGTCCTCGGTGGGTCATAGTTGCGTACTGATGAAGCCACGACCGATAGCTCCTACATTGACGTGGTGGTTGGGCTTGCATATCGCAATGATCCAACAATCTACGCTGGCTGACACCAATGTTCCTGCAGGTCCTACTATGCCAGGAAAATTGTTAGGATAGAGGTTAGACTAAAAGTAGTTACCGGCACAGTGTAATATTCTTTTTACATTACACTTTGGAAGAGGGATGTATCAGCAGAAAGGTGTTTCCCTCAGATGAACAGTGTGCCAGCTATTCTGTCTCTCCACCCTGGACAGGGGGGGGGTTAGAAAAGGTTGACCTCAAAAATTGTACATCCCGGCTTACTCTATCATGGTCAGTAACTGGCGGTAATACCAAGAGACCAGTTCATACAGGCCGAATGTGACCGGCCTCAAGCAGTTGTTCCATAGGCTCTGCGGTCACACACCACTAACTCTTTTTCTGTTTCAGCCAGCCGAAGAATCAATCAACTTCCACGGTGTGGGCAGTCGGGAAGTAACAACCACCTATACACACTTCCAAGAGCACTGCTGAAGAGTTACAAGATATTGACGAAATAGCTCCTCATTGTTTCGTGGGTTTTAGCGATTCTCTGACTGACTAACTGACTGAGTGATTGACTAGTTTCAACATAGAACTTTGCACGGAAGTGCACCAGTTCCAGTTGCTACCCTCCATGTACCGCACATAGGAAGACAAAAGAGACACAGGTAAAAAGGGATTCGAAATAACGATAACAAGCACAAATGTGAGAGATAGAGAGAAAAAGAAAGAATAGCAACATGGAAAAACAGTAGGGTGGAATGTATCTGGTAGATCACAAAGCACAAAGAGTGAATGCATCTACGCCAGTGAGAATGAATCATCAATAGTAGGCAGCCATTGGTTCTTAGAATCCCAAGGACCACATATTGCCAGTCTACACCTCTTCCTATGTAATTGGTTCAAACTAACTATTAGTGTCAAGTTGTGCTCTAACCACCACCATTAGCTCCTTTCCAACATGTTCCTAGAAATACGCAACACATATCCTAGCCATCTCAATCGATTAATTTTCCCTCCTTATTATTATTTCCTTTAATTCCTAGAGAAACATAGGGCTTCAGCTGCACGTCTCCATTACGTTCGGTTCTCTGCCAACGTTTTCATCTGGCTCCAGGTCTGCCCACATGCTTCCATCTCCTCTTCACATGACCTCCTCCAAGTCACCCTTGGACGACCAACTCGCCGCTTCCCTTTCGGGTTCCACTCGAGCAATGGCTTGTCTAGTGATGTCACTTGATGGTTTCCTCAGAGTATGGCCACCCAATCCACCTCCATTTCTTCTTGCTTATTTGTTGCAAAATCGGTTACTGGTTGGTACGAGTATTGAGCGTAGACAGGTATTGATGAAGGCCTGTAGTTTTTTTGACGCGCCAAGTCTCTGATCCGTATAGTAAGTAGCACTGACTGACTTCACATTGGAGTTGAAAATCCGGATCTTATTTTTTCATGCTCAATGCTGTTGACCTCCATACAGATTGAGGGTAATGAAAGCTTGTTTTGCTTTTCCAATCCTTGCTTTGATATCCTCATCAGTTCTGTCCGCCAGTAGTTGAAACGACGCTTGCCAGGTAGGTTGGTCGGTAGGTAAAGGAGGTTGCTTCTTTCACATTTCTCCCATTTATTCTGGCTGATTGTTGTCTGTTGTTGTTGTTGCTGCTGTTGGTGTTGCCCAGGAATCTTCATCACCTCTGTTTTCCCTATGTTTACTTGGAGTCCTATCTTTGATGCTTCTTCTGCCAACTTGTTGCTTTTCACTTGCATATCTTCCAGTTTGTGGGAAACAGATATATACAATCATCGGCGACATCCAGATCTTCCAAGTTTTCTGTGTGGGTTCATTTTATGCCTGTTTCCTCGCTTTCCGCTGTCTGTTGCATCATCTATTTATCGCAATCAGGAAAATCATTGGAGATAGTAGTGAACAGTCTGTCTTACTCTCGTCTTCACTTCGAAGGATTCCGTAAGTTTTCCGTTGTGGATTACTTGGTGGCATGCTGCATTGTCGTACAACTGTTGGATGAGATGTAAATTGTCGTCGGCACCCCGTAGTAGCAAAGTAGTTGCCAAATCACCTTACGATCAACACTGTTGAAGGCCTTTTCAAAGTCGATGAAGTTGAAATAGAGAGCTGACTGCCATCCAAAGCTCTGTTCAATGATGATCCGTAGTGTGGCGATTTGATCAATACCTCCTTACCTAACCTCAATAATCCGCATCTTATTATGCCATTTAACATGGGTGAATGGTTAACTAGTTTGGTCTTTTAACCTTAAAGTCTGTGGATCGGTTGATACTTGATGGGGTCGTGGGTGTATACTGTTGAAGAGTCCACACTAGGCCGAAACAGTTATCCAATGCTCGTTAACGAAATCTACATACCACTGTCTTTTATGGACTCGTGTGTGTGTGTGTGTGTTTACCTACTGTTTAATTCCGTTTTTTTTCTCTCTCTCTGTGTACATGCAGACAAATCGATAAAATTATCAAAATCGCCTACTCGTATGCTTTACAAGTACCAGATGCTAAATCCTATGTCTCGCTGAATACAAATTTCACAAATGATTCAACAGTTATCCTCAATTGGAATTATTTAGACAATTATTTATGCAATCGTGGTATCAGTGACTCGTTTCGCTTACTCCCGGTAATTTATGATCAGTATCTTTTTTGTTGTTGTCAAATGCATTTTTGTTTGGTGTGTGTTTGCGTGATGATTGGATTTCCTTCAAGAGAGAGCTGCCAGTCAGTCAGTCAGTTAGCCAGTCTTTCATACGATATTTATCAGGGATATCTATAAATTCATTTGATATTTTGTTTCGGGCTGACGGTTGCGCTTTCGAGGCTTCGTTCCTTGTAACAACAGAAGACAAAGGCCAAGCAACAGATCGTTTATTAAGGAAAATCAACACATATTCATAGATTTTAATGTACACTATTGTAGATTATTATTGGCAGAAAATACAGTCTTTTGATTGGTTGTTTCTCACAGAAAGTTAACCTTGCATCTCTTTGTGGCTGTGTCAGATCATCCATAAGCTAACTGTATCCGCCTACGCAAAGCCTTTGTTCTCATTTTCTCACCATCAATATTGGGGGACATAAACATTGACGTCAATTACTGTCTACCAACTTTGGCTAGCAGCCAGCTCTTACCACACCCTTAGTTCTGTAACTGAATATGAACTGAATACGCAGACGGTCTTCACTTCCTGAGAGGCTTTTATTCGTCAGTTGAAAGGACACAGACATCAAAGATGCGTTGTCTGAGTTACAGGATCATACAATTCTTCATCATCGAGCAAGTTCAACAGGCTGAACTCGCTATGATGAAAGGATTGCATTTCTGCCTTCTGTTTAACCTGAAGCTCACGAAATTCGTCAACCAGTTTTCGTCTCAACTCATTTATGACTGCTCTGGAGTTAGACCTAACATCATTATCATCAATGACTAAACTTGGACAAGAGCCGTTACATGAAAATGCATCCAATGTCGCCATATTCTCCTTGTTCACAACAGGATTCATAGAAATCTTCACATAACAGTATCGTCTCATCACTAGATTAAGGTGCCAAATACGTTCCTTGCACGTTTCTCGACTTCACTTCTGCTTTTGACTCTGTATCTAGATGTCTCTTGCTAAATAAGCTCTCGATGATACAAACTGGTTGCATTCCTACTTCTCAAACAGAATGCAGTACACTGTATACAAAGGTAAATCCTCGTCTGCTGTGCTCACTGAAGCTGGTGTCCTCCAATGTGCTGTACTCTCCCCACTTCTCTTTTCTTTCTTTCTACATGACTTACCATCTTCAAATGACATTAATTTTGTTAAATATGCTGACGATCTGACTGTATCTTTGCCTGTCAAATGTCGAAGTGACTGTTCCAATATAAATGGCTTTTTATCAGAAATCAGCCAGTGGTCCAAGGAAGACGGTCTAACCTTAAATCCCTCTAAATGTCAAACAGTCAATTTCACCTTTAGGCATAAATCCGACCTAAACAAACTGGTTAGTACTCACCAGGTGTGCAACATAGATGACACTGAAATAGAAATCAAGTCGGAAATTAAATACCTTGGCGTCATTCTCTCTGCTGATCTTTCCTGGCCGTCTCATATCTTGATGATTTTTAGAAAAATATTCCGTCCTACCTTCTACATCAAGAAGTTAAGACATTCTGGTATCACCCAACCCTTACTGCTACAATTCGTTAACTCTTGCATCCTGCCTATTATTCTTTATTGTTCCCCCTTAGTTTTTCCAGGGCTACAGAAGAAGGGCTATATCTTATTACGTAGGGTGTTTAAGGTTGTTAGCAGGGTAAGCAACGTGCCACTTAACCAGCTTGTTAATATTCTAGTCAACAGGAACTTTGACTCATGTGAAAAATGGGCTAAATCCATTCTGTCTAACTCACACCACCCTCTTCATTCACAACTCTCCCCTTGCATCTCACCAGGCAGGACGAGAAGCCTATATGGAAAACTATATGCTCGCACCGGCAAGTACAAAAACTTAACCATACCCTACTTAGCTCGTGTTCTGTGTGATAAAGAAAACATTAGGCGTGATACCTATAACTTATTAAATAGTCAGTAGAACAACTGGATCTCGTCTTTCCAACTCATATCATTCATAGGTACAACATTTTCTTTCTTTCTTTTCCTTTTCTCTCTTTTTTTTCTGTTATGTGCTGCTTTGTTTCTTTCTTCCTTACAAACTCTACTTAAAACATTCTTCTTCGTTCTTTCACACTCTGTATATCTCGACTTTTTTGTTACCGCTTACGCCAGTAAATATGCTAGCATCTACTTTTCTAACACCTTCAAACACTCTGTTCAATTTTTGTCTTTGCTACCTACATGCTAATATATTTTTGTCAAAACTAACCGAGATTATCCTTAATCTATGTAGAATTTTATTTATTATTAATGTACTAACTGGATGCAATACTTTATTGTGCGTCGGTGGCACAGTGGTTAGGACTCTCGCCGATCATGCACATGGTCCGGAGTTCGATCCCCTGTCGATGCACACCCGATATCTATGGCTGGTTTGCAAATTTGGGCTACCTATATCCACGCTGAAAATTCCATACTTGTACTGAAAATACGGTGTGGCATCAAGCTGCAATCAAAATAGAAAAATAAAATATAAAAAAAAATAGTAAAATGCTGAGAATTCCACTTTGTATCACAAGTAGTGTTTTGGAATAAAGCAAATTATTATTATTATTATTATTGAGTGACTGCCAGTCATATTATCGCGGTGTGTGTTGAGAACTGCAGCGTTCTACTGTATAGTTGGCAAAACTTTATTAAGACACAAATAGTAGTCACCAAAGGCTCCAAAGACACCAGAAGGACGATTACTTGTTACTTGAATCTGTAGTTCTCTTAAATAGTGAAAACATTAAAAACTCGAAATTTCCTCAACAATGTCGTTAGATAGCTATACACACAATGTATGTTTCTAGGCTGAAAACAAATACTTAGAATCAAGAATAGTAATTCCCAACAAGGCGGTATAAATTACTCTGTCCACAAGAATCATACACCATCCATTTCTCCATACAGTCCAAAATCAGAATGACCTTGATTTATGGTTCATGTATATATATATATATATATATATATATATATATATAAAGAGAGGGAGAAAATCACATTAAAGTGACCAATATTTTTTTCAATTAGATCTCATCAGGTTCAACTCTCTAATATACATATCTTTACAAATAAAAATTCAAATATAAACCAATCACGGTGTTTTGTCTATAGCATAATAAGATGGTGAATATAAATTGTGCAATTAGTCATAATAATAATAATATTTTCTATAGTTTGGTTTGTAAGGGTTAGTTATGTTCTTACGAGTTGATCACGGACTGATATCAGTTAAAGAACCATTGGAAACCAGCCAGGAGTACTGTCAGATAGCTGTTTCATCCCACTAGTTTGGGAATCATCGGCAGTACGCACCCACCATCACGGTTCGAACCCAGGACCTTCCGGTTACAAGTTAGGCTAGCTCGTATACCATTCAGCCACTGGGACCCGATTCAATGGCCAGCCAGTGCATGAATTCTAACTTCTACCAATTCGTGATTTTAGCGCGACCCCAACCATTGTCGTTCGTGGGACATCCATCCACACACGTGACTTCTAATTGGACCTCACTGGTCACGACTTCTCACTAGAACTCCAGGAAGCTCCAACCTGTAGCAAGTCACTAGCGAGCATCAGAATAATTTTCTATAGTTTGGTTTGTAAGGATTAGTTCTGTTTTTACGAGTTGATCACGGATTGATATCAGTTAGAGAACCATTGAAGAAGTTGGAATTCATGAGCCATTGAATGGAGTCCCAGTGGCTGAATGGTATGCGAGCCAGCTTGCCTTGTAACCGGAAGGTCCTGGGTTCGAATCCCATTGGGTTCGTACTGCCGATGATTCCCAAACTAGGATGAAACAGCAGCTGTCCAGTACTCCCTGCCTGTTTTCAATGCTTCTCTAACTGATTTCAATCCGTGATCAACTCGTAAAAAAATAATAATAATAGTTCAATCAATAACAAAGAGGAAAATGTAAGGTGGTCTGCGATAACACGGATAATGAAAAACAGCATAATTAAACAAAGAAATGTTCAATTAGACGTAGTAGCCAATAGAGGTTCAGAAAAACAGATGGACCGATTAAGTAATGATAGATTGTAAAGAAAGTAAATATAAACTGTGTTTTAATGGAAGACATGATAAGATTAAGGGGGATGATAAGATAGAGGTTGAAAATATATAAATAAGGAAGGCGTAGAGGAGAAGTCATCCCTTGGTTAGGCCTTAATAGGCCAACAAGGAAGGGATAATAGTTGTACGAATTTCTTTTGAATGCATACATAGTTTAGGCTTAATAGTTCGAATGCCTATCGCCTGCCTCAGCTGTGTGCAGGAGACGAATACGAAATCTATCGGAAAGATTCGATGAGATGCGATGAATTATCTTGAAAGCTTTCGTTTTTTTCATTACAGGACCACTATTATTACTATTATTATTATTATTATTATTATTATTATTAGTAGTAGTAGTAGTAGTAGTAGTAATTGCACAATCTTATTATCCTATTGACAAAGCACCGTGATTGGTTGGTTTATATTTGAAGTTTTATTTGTAAGGTTATGTAAGTATACTAGAGAGTTAATCCTGATGATATATATATATATATTAGATGGCAGTCGGCAGGAAGCCTTGACTGACCTAGGTTTCGTGCTAGTTGGCACTCACCAGTCAGTCAGCAAGGCGTATCTGCGACCACCTTGAAGGAACTCATGTCCTCCCTCCTTCTGAGATTCGAACCCGCATCACTCAGTGAGTGCTGCAGTCAGAGACGTTACCACTGAGCCAACTATTCGGGCTCGCGATTGACCTCCTGTAGGACTGTACTGGATACTTTGATTGGACACTAGTTAGTAACTAATGCGATGTGTCTAGCTAGTCCTGTCTTTGGCGCAGACTGAATTCTATGAGCGTCAAGTTCGCAATATGGCCAGTCTACACTGAAGACAGAACTAGACACACGACACTAGTTACTCGTACCTAATCATAGAACCTGTTCATTTACAATATAAAAGGAGATTCCGGCTTCTT